TCCCGCAACAACAAGTTGCAACCACCTGGCGAGGGTGATACCGGCCACCCAGTGGCCCCTCCAGGTGCTGCCCCTGCGGAACCCCCTGCTTCGCGCTGCGTGTGCCTGCTGACTGACGCCGACGCCGCCGCAACGTGAAGCAGCACGAAGACAGCATGCACGAGGAGTCGCCGGGCATCTCAAAGAGCGAAGCGTGCGATATCGTGTTTATTCGGGGATACGCGCGAATCGACGATGTACTGAAATCGATACACACATCTGTCGCAACGAAGAGTCTATTGAAGGAACCGATCGAGGGAACGGGAATCCCATGCGAATTTTGGATGCCCGAAATTAGCCGGGAGATGCACTCGATGCCGTTGCGATCGTTAGAAATCAATCGTATCGGAGTACTGTATTTTTTCATGTTTTCTTTTCAGCTGTACAATGTTTCGGCGAATTCAATGATTTTTTAATTTTTTATTAACTAAATCTAAGATTATATAAAACTTTAAGTTGGGGTTTGCAATAAATGTATAATATTGACATAATCTGAAGTAGAAACGACAGGCATGTTTCTTTTAATCTACATAGATCAACATAAAAATTATTCTAGCTAAGGTATTAGTTTTCATTAATAAGTTTTTTGTAGTATTTAAGATACTTATTAACGTTTATTATTAAAAATTAATTAATTTAATATTATTATTTCAGCTTCACTTTATAATTGTTCAAGTAATCGGCGCGTAGTTTATATAAATGGAAGACATATTCAAAAATTTACACATATAAATATTATTAGGCCAAGATATAGCGATCCTATTTGACTCTTTTTTACTTATTTCATTTATGAAAATTATTATTTAACTTTGGATATTATTGAGTGGGTCATTCAATTACTTTGCAATCTAATCCTTTTTTTTATGTGAAGTGTAAATTAGAGAGTAACGTTTGACCTGCCTTAGTGATGTTTGCTGGCAGTATTTCACGAAGTACAGCGTTTTCAATTTAAAAAAATCTTTGCTGTCTGCAAATAACGGTTTTTATACATGTAGCAAGAGTGTGCTAAAATACGTGAATAAAACGGGAGTAGTTATAGATCGACTCAGTAAATTGTGAAGATAAGCAAACTTGTATAATGAAAAATTATGATTTATATTATTCTTATATTACATTCTCTCTCTCTCTCTTTCTCTCTCTCTCTCTCTCTCTCTCTCTCTCTCTCTCTCTCTCACCTTGCATTACTTTATATATCGGTCAAAGATATTCAGAATCTTCAAATCGAATTACTCACAAAGTTGACGTATAAACAGAAATGTTCTACATTTGTCGTCGCAGCATGTATACATATACGTGCACTCATATCACCGTTGAAATGCAGCCGTATTGCATTCACCACTCTCTGTTGCCTCGTGCAGGGTTGCTATAGTTTCAGAAAATTCTATCGCTCCGCCTATATGCATATTCACGCGATATGATAAAAATGAAAAAAAAAAAAAAACTTTCCCGCAAACTCCGGACTCGGTATTGCGGGCATATATTACTTCTTATTACCCGCATATATATATATATACATGCGTGCATTGTATATTTTTTTTATAAAAAAAGAATATCTATCCTTTAGATATATTTACGCAATATGTACATAGACTGATCCTAAATTCAAGAATCTTATAATTCAAAGAAAAAGATGTATCGCTTGAATCGTGACATATTTACTTTATATCTTCTTAAAGATGAGACCTTTCTATTTGACAAATATAGGGGAGACTCTCTATTTCTGTTGAGTAATATACTCAACATATAGAACAAGGCAACGCATATTTAAAGGCTACCGATAAATCGAAGGAAATCTCTTCCTCAGGATCTCGTCTCCTGGCACGTCTCGCCCATCCAATACTTTCAACGTATCTGTGTACTTGTACGTGCGTCCGACTTCGATTATGTATACTTATGTATGAGTACTTCGGTGAGTAATGTGTGCAGTGTATTGCCGCATGCTTGTATAACACTTTAGACACGAACATGGCCAAATTTACACATAGCCATAAATGTACATTTATATTTGTGCAATATACGTTTACATAATAGCAAGTGGTATTTGTAATCTTCGTGCACGGGATTGCATATACGGGGTGTCGCACTTTTACTCTAAAACCGAAGATTTATACTTTCTAAAAACTGAAAGTATATAAATAATAGATGAATAATAGGTAAAGCAGAAAGGAAAATTCATATATAAAAATTTGGTGTATCTTATATTATACTTTGCATTAAAACTGAATCTAAATACGCGAATAACAAAAATCATTTCTCACATTTATTTTAAATTACGTTGATTGTTCAAGGATACCTTTTTTTTCGAACTGTTCTATGTATTTTCTTATAAATCTCATTTTCTACAATTGAAAAGATATTTTAAATTATTGTCAAGTTTCACAAAGAATAAGGAGAAAGAACAACAGCAACTTTCCCAATATTTTCAATAAGTGATCTTTATGCTCGCCGCAGGGCAAAATAGGACACCCGGTATACCCGCGCCGGGGGTAAGGCGTGTGTGGCCGTGGTGGCGGTGGTGTGTGGCTCAGGTCGCGGGGGTGCCGTGTTTCAGACGCCGCGTTGGGGCATCGATTTCGGCCCAGGCCGATGGCATCGACGGGGCACTCCTTCGCGGGGCCATCGCGACGTCGTCGTCGCGAGCGTCGCGGCGGCGCTGCTGCCGCCTCCACCACCGCCGGCGCCACCGCCGCCGCCGCCCCCGCCACCACCACCGCCGTCGATGCCAACCGTCGTCATCGTCGTCGTCGCCGTCGTTGCAGGGAGCGAGAGAGCGAGGAGAACCACTCACCGCCTCTACCTTAGCCGGCAGCCGCTTGCTTGCAGCTCCGCCGACTAACGGCGTCGTCGCCGTTCCGCTCGACGCACGCCGACGCCGACGCCGCCTGCGCGCGAGACCGCTCCACGCCGCGCCGCACCGCGCCGACACGGGCGGGCGAGCAGACACACACTTACGGCAGTCGAGGGCAGTCGAGAGGCTGCCCGTCGTGCGTGGTGCTGCTTAGTAGCTGGCCGTGTGCTAGAGAGCTTCGCCACTGCTGGTGCTGCTGGCCTGCTGGCGCGAAGGCGCGTTACCCCCCAGTCAGTGAAGCGAGAGAGCCGCGGCAGTGCGCGAGCGAGAGTTCACGGTGACGGATCGCGGTCTGCTCCTCTGCCTTCAGCAGAAAACGGAGCACATCGTTTAAGAGAGGGAAAGAAGTAGGGAGAGAGAAAAGACGATCAAATAAATCTTGGCGAAGAGACTTGAGTTGAAAAGGGGGTTGAATTGTCCGTTAGGGTCGTCGTGAAGAAGTTGCGAATGCAAACTTCGGCAAATTGTACGAATTGAACTATAAAGATGCGAAAAAGGGGGTAAGGTTCGACGCACCGGATAGGTCCTGCTTAAACGAACGCTGAACCACTGATTTGCCTGTCCGCTACTTACTCGGTACCACCGTGCACGAGCGGAGCACAGTTG